TTTGTGTCAGGACAACATCTGTCATCATAGCTGGGTTAAACAAAGCTAGACTAACAGTGAAATATCTAATTTCAACAATGAACTCAGCACTAAAATGAGTCTTATGTAGAGACAAATACAATGTTTTGGAAACTACACATACAATGAATCCTAGATACAATTTGGACATGAATCAACAGAGGATTCAAGCAAAGATTAAACAATTGGTTTAAGATAAGTACAAGTTGACTGTAGTTTTGAACTTAAAACCTAAACTTTAGACATAATAACAAGGTTAAATGTGACATACCAAAATCCTGAGTGAAACGAATCACTAACTTAGGTCACAAGGAACAGTACTTGACCAAGGGGTCCTCAACTTGAAAGTGCAGGTCTTGAACACTTTGAACCACTGAATTAAACTAACTAACTGCACTTCTTTTATTAGGAAACAAACAATAGAAGGAAATTCTCATGATTCTAGTACAAGGTGTGGTGGTGTGACATATAGGAAATTCATGATGTAAATCCTGTGTGGTTAGGTTATGTGGGTTGATTTGATAAAGAAAGGAAATAGTTTCTACCAAACTGAAATTCTAAATTTGTGCTAAAAATGCATTGTCATGTTTTTGTGAACCTGGTCACACACTCCCCTGCTTAACACTGTCGTCCACGACATGTGTATTAATAGTTACTAAATTCTAGACATAGAGTCCATACAAAATTAATAAAGTCGATATAACTAAATAAATTGAGAGTTCATTGACTGTAATAGTTATGGAACTTGTTACTGCAGTTTTTGGTTGCTTAAACCTGTTCTTGTGTTTTCCAGCGGTTTTCCTCTTTGTTCGTCTAGGTGGTATAGGAGATGTAGTTTCTGGAACAGGGGCTTCTGCTGAAGGTACAGGTTCTGTATCATTTTCAACGGTAGGTACTCTCTCCTCTGAACAGGCTGGGTCTGCACTGGTCTGGCCTGTAGGTCCTGGTCCATTAGAGGGTTCTGGGGCTACCTTTGTGCATTCTTTGGGTAGAATTAACACAAGCTCCTCATCTGAATTATCCTCCTCATCTGCTTCACTACTAGGATCTAAGGATTTAGATTTTCTAACAGGTTTGGGTCCTGGGTCCTTCTGTTCCACGTCTGGATTGGTCACACTCAATCTTAGATTGCTTCTGTGCACCTTTCTGGTCTGGCCAGGATCATTGATAGGTTCCACCGTGTAGACTGAACCGTAGAGGTCTGTTGGAACATCAACAACTTTATACGGGGTAGAATCCCAGGCGTCCTGTATCTTGTTGCGTCCATGTACATGGTTTCGTAAGTACACTATCTGATCTTTCTGGATCGGGATGTCAAACTCTTTTCCATTGTGGTGTTCTCGTCGTCTCTTGGCTTGGAGCTGGAGATGCTCCCCTGCTCTTTGGTAAGCATCTCTTAACCTTGTTTGATGAGCTGCTAACCAATCAATTGAACTTTCTTCAACATCTTCACCCTCTCCAAGAAGTAAATCAATTGGAAGTCGAGCTTCTCTTCCAAACATTAGATAATGGGGGCTGTACATCGTTGATGAATGTGGTGTGGCATTGTAAACGTACAATAACTCTGGTAGGTATTCAGGCCACTTGCGCTTCTTAGACGGAGGGAGGGTTCTTAGCAGATCATGCATTGTTCTGTTGAACCTCTCACATTGTGCATTACCTTGGGGGTGATAGGGTGTAGTGCGAGATTTCTTGATCCCATAAAGTCTGCAAAGTTCTGCAATAACTTCACTTTCGAAGTTTCTTCCTTGGTCTGAGTGAATTCTTAGGGGAATTCCATATTTGAAGAACCATTCTTTCACTAGAACTTTAGCTGTTGTAATAGCTTTCTGGTCTCTTGTTGGGACTGCACAAGTAAACTTTGTGAAGACATCAGTCATAACAAGAACATTCTCTCTTCCGTCAGTCGCTGGTTCAAGGACTGTAAAATCTATTGCTAGTATTTCAAGTGGCTTCGTCGCCAATAGATTTCCCATGGGTGGTCTGATTCTCGGGTTTGGCATCTTTGATAAGGTACACCTTTCACAGTTCTTGATCCAACTCTCCACATCTGAGTACATTCTGGGCCAATAACATCGTTCACGTGTCAGCTGAAGACTTCTTTCTAATCCTTGATGTCCCATATCATCATGCAGGCTAGTGATAACTTTGTTCTTCAGAGTGGCTGGTAACAGAAGCTGTTTCAGTTCTCCAAGTTTGGGATCCTGAACAATTCTGTACATTAGGCCTTGTTCTCTGGCAACTTTATCCCACTGTCGCAACAGGGTGACACACTCGTGGGAAAGCTGCTTTCTCTCTGCAAAGGTGGGTTTCTTATCCCTCTCCCAGAACTTTAGGAATTCTTTAATTGTGGGATCAGCCTTCTGCATGTTGATAAGTTCTTCCTTTGTGTGAGTGGGGAATGATGTAGTGGCAATTACTGGCTCATCTGTTGTTGCTTTCTTATTAGCATCATTAGTTGTCTGATCAGTTGCTGTTAAATCATGGTCTGGTTCATATGCTGCCATTCGTCTTACTTCAATTGGGATAGGCGTCTTCACAATAGCATGGCTCAGGTCAGGAGGTACAGGAGTTGCTAGAGTAACTATAGACTCAATGTGTAATAATTCATCTTCCTTTGAATCGTCTACCTCTGGTGTCAATGATTCATGAGGCTGGCGTGATAAGGCATCAGCATTTGCATTAGATCGTCCACTTCTGTAGCTGATTGAGAAGTCGAATAAAGCCAACTGAGCTGCCCATCGCTGTTCCAAGGCACCAAGCTTGGCAGTGGTCTGTAAGTACTTTAAGGGGTTGTTGTCGGTGTAAACTTCGAATTTTGAACCAAGGAGATAGGTTCTGAATTTCTCAGTTACTGCCCACTTCAATGCCAACAGTTCAAGCTTCATGGAGCTGTAATTTCTTGGGTTCCTTTCACTTGGCCTCAATCTTCTACTGGCATAAGCAATGACTTTGCGCTGGCCATCCTGATCTTGTGATAAGACTGCTCCAAGTCCCACATGACTGGCATCTGTTTCTACGATGAATGGCTTGCTGTAGTCTGCAAATCCAAGTATTGGGGGATGAGTCAATTTTTTCTTCAATGCATCAAATGCAGTCTGACATTCTGGATTCCACCTTTTCACAAATGGGACTTTAAGTTTCTTCTCCACTTTCAGCTCATGCAGGCAGTTGTTAACTAGTTGGTGTAATGGTCCAGCAATCCTTGCAAAGTCTTTGACGAATCTGCGATAGTAACTGCAGAATCCAAGGAATGATCTCAGTTCTTTAACAGTTGTTGGCAGTTTCCATTCTGATACAGCTTGAGTCTTCTCAGGATCCGTTGTGATACCATCAGAAGAGATCTGATGACCAACATATGTGACTTTACGTCTAAGGAAGTGACACTTCTCTGGTTTGAGTTTTAATCCATGTTCTCGGAGTCGTGTAAAGACTCTGTCAAGTCTCTCTATGTGCTCATCAAAGGTATTGGAATACACGATGATGTCATCCAGGTACACAAGCAGTATCTGAAAGATGTAATCGTTCAAACAGGTTTGCATAAGCCTCTGAAAGGTCGCGGGACTGTTGGTCAAACCCATCGGCATTCTGTTGTACTCGAAGATTCCGAACGGCGTTGTGAAGGCAGTCTTGTGCCTGTCTTCGTCGTCCATGGCAACCTGGTTGAACCCACTTGCGAGGTCCATCGTTGAAAACCATCTTGCACCTCCAATGGCATCAATAGATTCCTCAATTCTTGGTAAAGGGAACTGGTCTCTTACTGTCTTGGAGTTAAGACGTCTGTAATCAACGCATAGTCTCAGGGATCCATCCTTTTTTCTGACAAGCACAATAGGTGCGGCGTAAGGGCTATGGCTTTCTCGAATGATGCCACCATCCAGGAGTTTTCGTATGTGATCCTTTGCCTCTTGAAACTGGTTTGGTGGGATTCTTCTGTAAGGCTGTGCAACTGGTACTTGATCGATAGTTGGGATCTTGTGCTTGACTGTTTCTGTGTATCCAAGGTCATTCTCATTCTCTGTAAAGACGCTGGCATGTTTCTGGAAGAGAGTCTCAAGCTTCTCTCTTTGCTCAGGTGTACATTCTACGGCTGATAGATCAATTGGATATGCCAAAGGTTGTGTTTGGTCTTCTTCTGTTGTGGATTCTCTGACAAACACCATCTCTTCATTGACTGAAACTCTCTTGAAGTCAACAGTGTTTTTAGTATCCATAACATTATTAATCTCGTGAAGTACTCCTATTCTTGTATGGGGTTGAAGCCAGACATCTTCATCAGTAATGTTCGCAACTCTTACATGAAGCTGTCCATTAACTACACCGGTAACTGTATTTATGACAATCAGGTTTCCCGGAGTCTGTCCACTTAATGGTTCCACAAGAGCAGCAGTGTTACTTGTTTGAGGTCCATGCCATCCAGTTATTTTGACAACAGAAACAGATCCAGCCGGAATTCTAACCTTGGTCTTACCGGCTACTTTTGCAAAACCACGTGCTGAAATAGATTTGGCACTTGAAACAATCTTCAACACTTCACTCCATTCAGGTAAAATGTCCGTTTTTCCATTTTTGTAAGGTTCTTGCAGTTGGGTAATAATGTTCATTCCAATTAATCCAGGGGTTATCTTCTTACGTTGCCTGGCCTCTTCACTCGCTGGACTCTTAACGACTAAAATTCCCCTTTGTGGGATCATGACTCCCAGGGCTTCAATATCCAGTTCTAGGTATCCGACATATGGTATCTCTAGTCCATTTGCTGCTGTAAGTCTTAACCAATCGCCGGTAGGTAAAAGTGTTTTCCCTTGAGGGCGAAAGTGTTCATTGAAAAACTCTTCTGTAATTGTGGATACTTCAGATCCTGAGTCCAAGAGGCAAGGTACGTCCACTTCACCCAGTCGTACTGTCGCCACTGGGCACTCTCCAACTGCCTTCTCATACATTCTTGACACATCCATATTTGAGCCACTGTTGTCCCCTACTGTCACTTGGCTCCTTGTGGCAGAGGGAGTTAGTTTGACGGCTTGTCAGGGCGCTGTCTACCTTGTGGTGGTCCCTTCCTGACAAGGCGGTCATCATTTACCCTGCAGTTCCTGGCAATGTGTCCATTCTTGTTGCATTTGAAGCAAACAATATTAGGGCGCTGTCTACTCCATTCCTTGGGCGGGATTTGGGTCCTTGGCTGCTTGAGGTCTCTAATTGAACTCGTCAGTTCTTCTAAGGACTTCTGCTGCTTGAGCAGGACCTCCAATACCTTATCCATGGGGGTGACGACGGAGCTAGCAGCACTACACTGAGAACTCTCATCTGGGATGTCAGCTGCTACTTCCTGTGATAATGGGGGCCTTGCACGCTGTGGTCTTTCCTCCTCTTCTGACCAGCGTAAGGCTTCCTCCCTTAAATCTAAGAATGCGGGCTGATGCTCTCGGATGAACTTCTTCAGTTCCTTTCTAAGAAAGGGGTCCCTTACATTGTCTGCAAATTGGTCCCGTAGAGTCTTCTCTGGGTCAGGGACTGCCTTTGGATCTGCTTTGGTGACGCGCTTGAGTAGTTCATTCAAGCTGTACGAGTACCCTCGAAGTGTTTCATTTTCTTTCTGCTTACGCTCGTAGAACATCTTCAGGAGTTGAGAGCTGGAACGTTTCTCTCCAAATGCTCGTGCGAGAACATCCAGAAGGAAGCTTGGGTTACTTCGCTCCTTTTCGCTGTACATTCGTACCTCTTCTTTTGCTGGTCCATCCAGGTGAGACATTATGAAGTCCACTTTCTCGGGTGGGGTCATTTCTCGTGCCTCAAATGTTGTCTTCAGTTCTTCTATAAAGTCTTCAACTGGTTGGTCACCTTCTGTTTTCTTCCCAGTGAAGTTCTTTATCTTCTTGTCGCGGGGAAAGACAACAATTTGCTTTGCACCATTTGTTGTTGCTGGTACTGAGGATGACACTTGAGTCGGATTGGTGGATTCCTTCAGGGCTTTTAGTTCTTCCATTGCCTCCTTGTACATCTGGGTCAATTCATCCACTTTTGTTGATAGCTCCTCTGTAGTCATGGTGATTTGATCCTTGTGCTATTATTGCAACCACCCTTTTTATAAAATTGCTGACTTTTTTCGATTTCTTTTTTTTGTATCCTGCTCGCAGCGCCAAATGTGACCGAGGCAGGTTCTGGTGTTGTTAGTGAACAACGAAACAGACTTGTAGCCACAATAAAATTTATTTATGCAGGAATACAGAAATTATACAAAAGGAAANGGAGAGGGATAAGAGGGGAAAACAGAGAATGTTTGGGAAAAGGGAATTAAGAGACTGGAGGAGAGGGAAAGAGAAGGTCAGGGAAAGGAAGAGAGGGGAAGAAGGGGGAAGGGCCAGGGAAGTGGAGTGGACAGGTGGGTGATAAAGGCTGGAGAGAAAAGATGGAAAAATGAGCATTTATAATAAAACAATATATTACCTACACTGTAGAAGAAATTAACCGCTGAAGATACTAATTATTTAAGTCGGGTTTTTTTCAGAAAAACTATTACTAATCTTTTTCATTAACATTTTATTTGTCATGTTTAATTCAGTTTAGTTTAGTTTATTTCGATAATTTGTTCAGATTGCTCAGATCCCTAAAATTATTCGGTAAACATATTTATTTTTTTTAACTCAAAAGTGTACTCATGAGTCTTTTAAACATTTTAGCACTAACAATGCAAGTGATAATTAAACATATTAGAACATGTCTGTACAAAACTTACTGTACTGATGTAGTGAGCAAGTCCACTCCAGAGTAATCTTTCAGGGTAGGATTGGCTGTGAGGAGTTAAACAAAGTGACTGTTTAAGGCCGATACCTAACACGCACACGGAGGAGCCACTTAGCTCACAGAAACATTTCCTAGAGCATATTTATTAAGATTGCCAACAATGAGACTGTGAGCATGTATGTACAAACCTAAAACTTGTATTAATATATTTGTAAATCTGGCTGCACGCCTTCTTTGACTCTGGAGTTATTTCAGGAAGCCAGCTAGTCCCCTTTCCCTTTTCTAAATAAGTTATACACAAATACCTGCATGTGGACTGAATAGGAAAAAAAATATTTAACTAGCTGTACTGACATCTGTAAGATATTTTTCATGGCGGTTTGAAGGTAAACTTCAAAAGTTGAGAAGATTTTTTGAGGAAAAAAAGTTGCTGGTTGCATCGAACCACCATAAAATCTGGAACAAACTCAATACAGTCGAACCTCTGGCAAGCGACCAACTCTCCTAAGTGACCAGTCTTCCAAAACCAAACGTTTCCAAGTCAAATCACTATATTTGGCACCTCTTGTAAGCGACCACCTCTCATAAGTGACCGCGACCACTTTTGCAGGAGCTAAAATTTTGAAATTTCTTTTTGTTTTTAACTTCCCACAAGTGACCACTTGACAGATAATAGAGCATATATTGGATAAGAAGTTGCTGCAACATTATCGCATTCCTGGGAAGTACAAGAGACCGAAATTTCTCCATGGGAAGACACGGTTTTTCCTCGAAATTAATTTTTACATGAATAAAATGTTTAAAACATGGGATAAGTGTCTGTAAATAACATACGCTACTGTGGCAAAATTTTGACCCAATATGGTCTAAGTTCTCATAAGCGACCACCTCCCGTAAGCGACCACAGAGGCTTGTCATTTTGGGTGGTCGCTTATGGGAGGTTCGACTGTAGTCTCAAAATTGGTAGTCTGAAAATTGGCAGGCTCCACAGAGACAGCATAGCCAAATGGTTAGGGTACTGAAAATCTGGGAGGTCGTGGGTGTAAGTCCCACTCTGACTACTAAGTAAGCTAGTGTTGTTTCTCAGTATACCCTAGTTCAACTCCTCAGTCATACTTGTTAATCCCTTTAATGCTTATTTAAATACCTCTTTTGTTCAGTTTAAGGACATTTGCACCCATTGTCTCAAAAATGAGCATGTAGACCCCCCAATTTTTTGTCTTTTTTCAAAAGTAGATCTCAACACATGGCAAATTTAAAAAAAAAAATCTGCATGTGGGAACATTTTGAGTGCAAACATCCTTAAGTGGCATGCCTGAGAACTACAATCATGGACAAAAGTCTTGAGATNTGACGCTTTGGCGCACACGCCAGACACGAATACAACTTCACCTGCCGAACGTCGGCCCCCTCCCCCCATACAATGTTGAAAACTACTACCTGCAATTTCTTCTGAATTTCAACATTGTATTGGGTGGGGAGGGGGAAAAGTAACGCATTTTAAAAAGGAAAGCAGCACTTTTTTCAAACTTCAGTGGTAAAACACAGATAATTCGTTAAATTACATAAGTGTCCCAAGGACTTTTGTCCACGATTGTAGCTAGGTGTAGCTAAGCACATTGACCACTATAACTACTCAACATTTTTTGACTTATAAATTTCATTCCACTTTTTCGATTTCCATGCATCCACTTTCTTCTGTGACCATTTCTAATGACTGACAAGGTCAGCATGTGACAAGAATATACAAAAGCCCCGTTGAAGGAAATAACCAATTTACCTAAGAAATGATCAACCGTTTTGTAGTGAACTTGAAGTACAAGATAATTCACACCAGAATCACCACCCACTTCAAAGGCAACATCTAAAAACAACAGAAAGCAAAATAACTCATAGGCTGTTCACAGGAAAAATAACGATTAATGCATGGCGATAAAGAGTGAACATTACCACGTATAAAAGTATATAAAAATTATGTTTCCATGTCACAATACCATACCTTTTCAGTCATAAACCCTGCACTTATATGACTTTGTAAGGGGTGTTTGGAACCTATAGATCTAGAAGGGGGAGGGGTGTACCTTTTGCATATAAAAAATCTGTTTTGTAGTAAACTGAAGGAACTGACTTACCAGGAGGTAACTTCAACTTTGGAGCATTTCTTCCCCACACATACATTATCTTCTCTCCTACACCGCCGCACACACCTGATCCCATGTCCCCACAATTCCTAAAAGTGCAGATGGTAGACATGTTTTTATTTGCTTGATGGATACTACATGAAATCATAATGAATATAGAAACCAAAAAAAATATATATTTTTTTGCATATTTTTTTTTTCTTCACCATGTTTTTAAGCCATCTGAAAATGTGAAATTCTTCTAGTTAGGTCAGAAAGGTCAGAAACTGCTGGGGGGTTAAGATCTGGGACTAGTAAGGCCATTCAAAACAAATAATTATGTAGGTCTACCTATCTTTCATGATTGTTTGGAACCACAATTAAACTATGGGAAAGCGTTTGTTCAGAATTTATTTACTTATGTTGAAGGCTATGGCAAGTCCATGTTTCTCTGTATTTTAGTAAATAAAAAATATTTCTTGAAAGCAAAGCTTATGGAAACCAAATCCATTTAATGTGTTTATGCATGCATTATTGTTTAATGCATTTATTGTGTTATGCAGATATAATTTACAAAAATACCAAAATTTTCCATTGCTAGCCAAAGCCACTTCTCCTAGAGCTGGGCACCCAAACAATAACATATGATGCGCTGTATGCATTTCATCATGAGGTTCAAATCCAGCTGTTGAGAATGATACAAAGTTCAGATGGTTGAAATGTTTTCACACTCAGAAAATATGCAATTACAACTCAGTAAGAGTTGTGACTGCATAAAGAAACCATCCCTGTCAAATAATAATTAAATTCATAAGACTTCACATAAGTTACATTTGAGCCCGGCTGCTAATTAAAAATAAGTTAGTATATAAATGTATTTTAAATTTTGAAATCAGTTTTTAATGCATGTATCAATATGCCACCAAAACATATAAACCCTACCAATATAGGCTGCCTTGTGACGATCAAGATCCACAGCTGTACAAAGGTATGAGTCATGCTGCAAGACAGTATTATTCTGTTTGGATTGGTCAATAAACAAAAAACTCCTTACCATAATGAATGAATTATGTGCTTTGGATATTAATTTTAACACAGGGCAATAATTGAAGAGATGGTGTTTGTTTCACTTTTCAGCATAAATGTCAGAATGCAATACAACTTAGATGCTGTAAATGCAACTTGACAACTGTCACAAGAAGGTTTCTCCTCTTTGTATTGGACACAAATGACATAATATTAATTCAAAGACAATAAATACCAGTCCAAAATACAATGACTCACAAACCATGCTCACTTTTGTCACAATCAGTGATTTTCAGACTAAATAAAACCAAAAAAAGAAAAATTCTCACAAATAGAATTACTTCCAACTTTTACCAAATATAGAATATAATACAGGAAACTGATAAAATCACTGAACGCTAAGACACATAACATGGCCTACACAACCATCTTTGAGTAATCAATGAAATTTTCTTCAAAAGGATAGAGATCCAAGACTGAATTTACAATGCTTTCAAAGATGGTTTTTAAGGAGAAAAATAACACAGAAGCTGGTATCTAG